GATGGATGATTCCTATATAGAGAAGATAGGCGTTGTCTTTTAAGATAAGAAAACTTTTGTATGCCCATCATTGATAAAATCATATACGATCAATCTGTTTTCACACAAAAGCTCGCGAAAATAAAATGTGTGCTTGAAAGGATTAATCCCGCTAATGAGCCTGTAAATCGGTCGAGTTATTTGACAGGTTTTTGTCAATTACTTCGTAGCCAATGGAAATACGACGTGAACGATGTAAAGCGAGAACCATTATACGAAACAGGAGGGAGAGAAACGGTGGGAAAATGGAATGGGGGAAATGAAGCGGAAGCGCGGGAAGAAGCGGGACGATCGTGATGGATCTCGGTGGAAGATACAGAAGAAGAAATAGCCGGTATCTCGTTGGAGGAAGAGGAGGAGAAGAGGCGGAGAGCAATTTCGTAATAGCTCTGGGATAGAGAGGAGTAGGATAATAAAGAAGGAATGGTTCGGAAGAGGAAGAGATTAGGATGAAGTCATGTGGTAGATCAATCGCGCGGAAGAGAACGCTGGCTCTCCGTTAGCTTAGCCGATGGACGAATAATCCGGCGCTTTTGTATATAAAAAAAACACAGAAAATGTACACGAACAAACATTACCTAAAATAGACGTTAAGCAGCGAAAGACGAAAAACTCTTAGGGAAGAAAAAAAGCGTGTGTATAGAGAATAAAGTTGTATCATATGAAAAAGTGAACGTTTAACAATTGTGGTTAATAAGCAAAACGGTAATAATAAAGGCGACGTTATATTGTACAGCAACAGCAATCGCTGTGTCTCTGTCTCCTCTCTTTTTCTCTTCTCCCTTTTTTCTCTCGGATTTTTATATCAATTTTAATCGTTTTTTAAATTTTTTATATAGGTTCCTACATATATCCCTTTCCTCTCAGTCGACACAATTAAAAGTAACATAACAATGGTATAATATCATTCAACAGTATACAGGATGGCACACAAAATATTGTACGTTTAATTATCTCATTAAAACTATGTTTGTGGAGTGTCAGTATTTTTAACTGAGTGAGCAAATTCTATACTTCAAAATTCTATGAAGTACAACATCATGAGTTGAGCGGGGGCGAAGGGGCACACATCAATTTGTGAAATGCAGAGCCACGTCATACTATTTGCTTTACATATAATACATTTATTTTTAACAAAATTAATACAAAACTAGTATAAAATTAATTATCAAATTCTGAAGATTCTGTCTCTAATAAATAACATTCAACATATCGTTCAACATGCCGTTTGGCTTGCCTTTTAGAGATACATCTTTAAGACTTGAACTTCTTTTCAGATAACTATGATAATCATGTGAACGAAAACGTCTCTGAGTTGTTCTTTATTTTCGCGAAAAAATAATACCTTTCACTTTATAATTAATATTTGAACTGTCCGTAGTCCGCCATTTCACAAACTGTGTGTACTATTAAATTTATAGTGTCAAATTATATCCAATTCGAGTTATTTTTCATTACTTCTATAGGCCGTAGCTGTTTGTATTCAATATATTATTAATTTAATAAAAACAATGGAGTTAACAATTTAACTCAAGAAAATAAAGATTCAATTTAGTTTATTATTTATTAAGTGTACATGTTAAATGTGAACGTTGTTTACTTTGGAAAAGTACTACAGAAATGGATTGACAAATATGAAAATAAAAAAATAACAAGATATTATTTAATTTAAGGGATTGGATTATACATTGCTTAATATTTAAAAGTGTGCATTTTCACTTCTACTCGATTTCACGATATCACATTTAATAGAATTTTCACGAAGTACAGACGAATTTACTTACACAGTAAAAAAATAATACTTCACAAATATAATTTTAACGAAATAATTAAATGATAAAACACTTTATGTATCAATTAATGTTACATTACTTTTAGTTAATGTCAGATTGCGAATGTGCTATTCTACATTTGATTGGATATATTTAGTGATAATCTCATTGAATAATTTATGGTATCGTACATCAATGTTACGACGTTAATACAGAGAAGTATCGGAAGCGTAAATTAATAAATTCCAATAACCCACTAATCTCCGAACTAGAGTCGCTCAGGAGAAAGTTCGATTTGGCACGCTTCTCAAAGTTAGGCATAACAAATTTCTTCGTTGACGTATATCAAGGGTAAGGTAAAGTTCCAACGACGCTTGAGAAAGTTTCGGCGCTCTCGAGCATCGGGACACGCTCGATCCAAAAATTCGAACATGCTGACAAATTATCCTAGACAAAACTAGGTTGAACACTGGCCTGAAGTTCATGCTTTGGCCTGTGAGACCACGTTTCATCCTTAATTAATTATCTACGGCAGTAACGGCGAGCAACTTTCGCGTGGGACGCTTCTCTCACTCTCTTGAGACGAAGGTAAGTGGATCCTATTTTATCAATTTGCGGAATAATTTATATGCCGAGAGAAACTGATTGCCCGTCAAGGCGCAATATTCTTCACCGTTAACGCTTCGCATCCGTACACCGTGGCGTTATTGCAATTTAATTACGATCGTAGGCGAGAAGGACTTGGTGCGGCCGCAACGACTTAATGAGGTCACTTAGCATATAATTTGACTCGCTGCGCGGCCAATAATTCACTACGTGATCTTCGAAAGCGAATACAAATAATTGCATTAAATAATTGTCTATGCAGAAGTTCATTTGCTCGGTAATTCATATACGAATGACTTCCGTAACACATTAAAAGACCCCATTCTCTTTCTCTCTTTCTCTCTCTCTCTCTCTCTCTCTCTCTCTCTCTCTCTCTCTCCTCCCTCCTCTCTCTTTAATA